TAAACACAAAGCAAGCCATTCCAAAACACTTCCGAACAGTACTATGCTTAATCATAATATATATGGTATCAAAAATATCTAGGATATCCAACTACAACATCATATAACTAACTTTTTAGCATGACTTAATAACTCTGATTTATTAGGGTTATCTATACAAATTCGAGTCCAACAACTCTAAAACAATTTATGGTCTACTATAAATTTTCTTCAACATTCAAATCCTTTAATCGATGGATCTAACAAACATACAACAACTTACAAAATCATTAAACTTCTCAAAACACTCAATATAGTTATTACAGTACATAATAACTATTAGTAGTCTAAAACTCTTCAATATAATTTATATCTATTAGAATTATTACTTAACAAATATTTTCTATATGCAACATTCAAACAATAACTCTGTAACAAAAATATTATCTATTTAGATCAACTTATAACTTCTGAAAATAATACTCTTTTCAAATGGCAACATATTTCTCCTCAACTCTATTTTCTGAATAAAGAAAAACAGTCTCTATGGTTTTCCTTTTTAGAAGAAACTATTACAACAAACTTACATACTAGAGAGATTATTAGATCAATATCTTTAAACTCTTCTAATCCATTTCCTTTAAGTACAGGCCACTTTAAAAGGAAAAAACTATAGCTCCTCTCAATTACAAATAACCAAATTATCTTAGAGAAAGTTTATAAATTCTCTATATCTAATAACTCTATATCGATAACACATTGGACTACAGATTACAATTCAAGCCATACAGCCTATTATCTAATCTCTTCTATTAACTGCATACTATATTCAGGCTGTAATCTAAATTCAAACTGTATTGCAAATCTCTATACTATTGATGTATTAGCTACACATAGTACTAAGGTTTGGACTAGGCCCTTTACAAATAATCAATTAAACAAATTAAAGCTTAATGCTAATATAACAGACTTAATTTATAATCTAGCAATCAGACACCTATTAACAATTCCACCTCTTCCAAATATTAATTTAGAAAACAATTATATAACTAAAATATTTGGAGCTAACGAAACTTTACAATCTTTATACAATATATCTCTACAAAACTTGAACCAACAAGAACTAATATTTTATACTGATAGTTCAGTACAAAATATCTGTATAGACCAATGCTCTATGGGAATTGGCTAGGTTTAAATTTACAACAACCAAGTAGTTCAAATATTCGCAGTACAAATCAAAACATGGCCTTTATCTTACAAAGCAGAGCTTATGGCAATACTCTTAGCTATAAGTACAGCACCAAAAAACTGCAACATACAGATCTTTACTGACTCACAATCTGTAATTTCCAAATTTAACAAAACTCAACAATATACAAAAAACTACAATTCTAAAACAAAATACAACTATTGGCCAATCTAGGAAACTTTGCTTAACTTTATTAAGTCACAAAATATTAATATTACTTTTTATAAAGTTTAAGCACATAGTGATAATGAATTTAACAACACTGCAGATTTTTAGCATTACACCATTTACTTTTAGGCTTCCTTAAATTTAAACATACAAATTACTTCAACAACTCCTATACACTTCAATGGGAAAACTTTTCTGTTAAACAACTAACACGAAAATTTATTAAAAATATTTGTAATGCTTTTACAATAGCTCTGTGGTCCTCACAATTCAGAGCATAGCTATGGAAGCAATTCTCGAAGCAGGTTAATTGGAATATAACTTGAGCAGTAATTAACAACAATATTTTATAATCATCTAGTTATACTAATTACAAGCTGAGCAAAACCAAAACCTTCCGAGTTAAAAACCTTCTCAACAACCTTCCAACTATATCTCAATTACATAAATACTACTCTAACATTATTAAAACAAAACAATATATCTTTTGTAACCAATCGGATGATAGCATTCATTGGTTATTCTGTCCCAATTCATAATTAATTTTTGATATAATTAAATCTAATATACTATCTAATCTTACAACCAGCAATCTTGATATCTTACCCTCACAGCTTCTTCATCTTCAAAATTCATTTATTAACCATCACTCTTTACAATTACCATAGCCTTTCTCTAACAATATCTCACTCCATCAAACTATTACAGGCCTTATATCAAATGATCTTATTCAGTTACTATACCCATATACAGACTCTCATAAATCAGCTCACTAGCTTATAACTTCTCTATTCATAAAAATATCAGAATCAATATGTACTATATATGAAATCTTATTTGTACATTATTTATACAAACTAGTGTCATTTTGTTAAAAATTTTATTTACATCTGATAATTCTATTTTATTAATTTATTCTATTTTATTTTTAATAGAAGTATTTATTGTCTTTGTTATAAACTAGTTCACAGTCCTTAAAATCAATTATGAACTAGTTCACAGTCCTCAAAGTTAATTATAAACTAGTTCATAGTCCTCAAAATTAATTGTGAACTAGTTTATAATCTCCAAAGTTAATCATGAACTAATTTATAATTTCCAAAGTTAATCATGAACTAATTTACAGTCCTCAAAGTTAATTATAAACTAGTTTATGATCATTAAAGTTAATTATAAACTAGTTCATAGTCCTCAAAGTCAATCATGAACTAGTTCATAGTCTTCAAAGTTAATTGTAAACTAGTTCACAGTCCTCAAAATCAATTGTGACCTAGTTCATAGTTCTCAAAGTCAATCATGAACTAGTTCATGGTCCTCAAAATCAATTATGAACTAGTTCATAGTCCTTAAAGTTAATTATGAACTAGTTCATAGTCCTCAATGTCAATTATAAACTAGTTTACAGTCTTCAAAGTTAATCATAAACTAGTTTATAATCTTCAAAGTCAATCATAAACTAGTTTACAGTCCTCAAAGTCAATTGTGAGCTAGTTTATAGTTTTTAAAATCAATCATGAACTAGTTTATAGTTTTCAAAGTCAATCATGAACTAGTTCATGATTCTTAAAGTTAATTATAAACTAGTTCATAATTCTTAAAGTTAATTATAAACTAGTTTATGATTCTCAAAATCAATCATGAACTAGTTCATGATCCTCAAAGTCAATCTTAAACAGTTCACAGTTTCAAAGTTAATCTTGAACTAATTCAATTTTATCACAAATTCTAACTTCTAAAATCCTAACAATACATAATCCCAACTAAGATAAAATACAGACAAGTCAAGATCCTGACAAAAACAGAATCCTAACAGTATAGGATTCTGATATTCAAAATCTTGAATAGTTAAGATCTTGAATAGTCAAGATTCTGACAGTCAAAATTCTGATAGTTAAAATCTTGACAAGTTAGAATCCTAACAAGTTTTGATTTTTTGAATTTGATCTAAATTAGTAAATCTGAAGATATATTAAAAATCACAAATCTAAACTTAAAAATATATTATAATTATTAAACAAAATAGATAACTTTAAAATAAAGAGAACAAAAATAAATTATTGAACTTATTCATTTTATATTTAATTATTAATTTATAATTTATTAATTAAATTTTTTAAAGGTTGTATTGTAATATTTATATAGTATTATTAGAGTTTAAATCAATTATATTACTGTAATTAAATAGTTAATAGACTATAGGAACAGGTCGTCTAGTCTCATGAATTATTGTTTTAAACATAGTTTATATTGAATTAAAATCGTTTTTTTTTATAGAAAAGAAACTAGTGGTAAACCTTACGGTCTTAGGGTAGTGACAAATATTACGTAATATTTTTTTACTATACCCTCACCTCCCCTCCCCCCCACATAAGAGAAATTTAATTGGCTATTATAAATTTATATACCTAGCATAAGATATCGAAGACCCCCTCTCCCCCCTCAGAATATTACGTAATATCTGTCATTACCCTTATTAAAATACATGTATTTTTTGGTTGCTCCCTGATAAGTCTTTACCAGAAAAGTTGAAAGATCCTTAGTAAAGTCTTTGAAGACTTGGAATCTCAGAATCATTAAAAAAAAAGATCTCATTTTTTAAAAATAAAGTTTCAAGTGATTTTATCTAATAAATATTAAGATGTTTAAAGTATATAAGCTACAATTCATTAAATGATCAGAGCTCACGCAATTCTTTTCTGTTCATTCTTTTCTAGTTAAAAAGATTTTATAGAATAAATTTTATTTTATATTATGTTATATAAATTATTCATAAGTTAAATCTTGGTTGATACTGAAACAAGAGGATTTATATAGCGAGTTAGTCACTTGGCTATAGAAAACACCTCACAACCTACGAATAGCTTATCGAAAGAGGGCGTTTATATTTGGTTAGTGGTTTAGGCTCGTAGGTTAGTAATTCATTTTATCCTTCTTATAAATGAAGTCTTGAAGAATGAACACTACAATACGTCGGATATTCAAATGTTCAAAACCACAGTTACCACAGTTCGTCAAGTAACTGGAACCAAAACAAAATAACCACAACAAACCACAATACGTCGGGCTAGTTAGAAACATATGAAATAACCACAACCAACCTCAGTACGTTGAGTCAGTTGGAATCAGGAACCACGATTAATCTTAGTATGTCAAGATTAATCAGACAATTTACAGGTATATATCACATGTGCAAGACAACAGTAAACGTACTGTATGTCAATTTAACGAGAGCGGAGTTATGGAAGGGGTTAATTTAATGGCAATATTATGTATTTGGGGTTTATTGTACTGGAAATTAATAATTTTAATAAAGAACTCAGTTTTAAAAGCAAAACTATATAGAGTTATTTTTTTATTATGAGCGAATACGCTCTCAATATATACAATTTACATTAATATGTTTCTTATAACTCTTTTAATACTTAAACGTATTTTAACTATTATAATACTTAAAACCCTTTAATCTCTTTTAAGTCTTTTCCCTCTTTTAACTCTTATATGTATTAAAACTCTTATAACTCTTTTAATACTTATAAGGTAGCTGCACGACACTATCGTGCTAAAACCAGGAACGTAGATTTTGATTACAATTATTTAAAGTTTAATAGAGAATATTAAGTGGAGTATGATACTTAAGAATTAAACCTACAACTTCTTTATTGCTAAATAAGCGTAGAAAGTAAAAAATTTGGATGCGTCGATCATTTGACCTATTAAAAATTTTACACTAATGATCTGCATGACATTTAGACTGATTCCAGGGAAGAACGTTGATCGTTACACAAACTATCAATTGAATAAAAAATTTATTTATGTGTTACAATACTTTTCTCAGAAGCCCGAGTAGATTATCTCATCTTTAAACCAGACTTAGTGTACTAAGCAAACTTGAAGCTTTCGTGCTGTATTTTAAGAATATCAATTGAATCCCTTTGAATCCCACCACTTTTATATTGCAATTTGCCAATTGAAAAAATGTCTGAATCTAAGTATTGTATGAACTGTCAAACGACCAAATCGCAAAAATTCCGCTCGTTAAAAGACAAAAAGTGGGAGGAAGCGGAATATAATAATTTAATCAAAGCAACTTGGGTGAAAGGTAGTAGTTTGTGTAATAATTGTTATATAAATTTTGTAGAAAATCCATTAAGAAGAGGCGCCAAACGAGTAAAAGTTACAGTAGAAGAAATAGAATTTACAAGAGGTGTAGAAACTACGATGAGAGAGGACATAGAAGTAGAAGCTATAGATGAGGAAGAGGTAAGTACGATTAACCTAATTGGAGTTATAAAGTCGATGGCGAAAATCTTTTATCAGAGAGAACATACCCGAAAAGAAGGTCACATTTATTTATTTGATGAAATGCGAGAATTACTTCCACAAATCGACCCAAGCCTCAAGGATTTTTTTGACCAACTTTATTTGCTAGCTCAGCCATTTGAACGTTGTGAGCAGACAATGGGATGCATAAAAAGATTAATGGTGTTTTTATGTTATCTTCTTGCATCATTAAATAATTCAAAAATTAATTCTTTTAAATTCGACTTAGCATATTATTTAGATTCAGTAGGTACAAGTAACGAAGGTTTGAATACACTAGCTAATATCGGTATAACTACTACTGCAAGAGCAGTAGATAGTAAAAAGAAAAAAATTTCGGAAGCTCATAGGGAATACGTAGAGAAGGCTCTTAAAAATCGGTTAGAAAGTTCTTTCGTACTAAATATTGACGATTATCACAATATTCATGTTCCACGGCATCAACCTGATACCACTGATACCTCTTGGGTAGCACACATAGCAACAATTGTAGCAAATCCGTGTTCTGTATCAGCTATACCACGCAACAGAGCACTTAATCCAAAAGTTGTTGATGATGAGCTGATTATAAAGCATCTCGATGAACGATTTATTACAAATCTTGGAATTTTTTATATTGATCGTCGAAAAGATTATTTAGGTAAGTGTTCTGATGATGAGTTCATGGATAAACTAACATTGCATAGTTATAATGACAGATTGGCAGAAAAAAAAGGTGACAGACATATACAGAATGCCATCTTTTTCGATTTTGTTGGAAGTAATCTGAAGCGTGTTAAAGATTATACAAAAGCTTTTCAAATCATATATGATCAAGAACTGATGCAAAAGTATCTTTCTGATCATATAATTCCAATTATTGCAGACTGGCCTGGGCAGTTCTTTATCCGCAAGGCTATTGCGCACCATCTTCTTCTTAACAATGAAGTTATTCCTTCATTCGTTACGTCGTTTATACCTATGTTGGGACCTCTTCATGTTTCTTTAAATAGTCGTGAACTTGTTTTTGATCAAAATTCGTCTATAATAAGCGAATACTAAATTTATTAATTTGCAGCATTAAAATTTAATAAATTCAGAAATTTTGGGAATAAATCATATTTTCGACTTGTATATTACGATCGTTAGTTTATTTTTTTTTTCAAAAATAAAGTATTCAAATATTATTTTATTAATGTTGTATTGTATAATTATCAATTTATTAATAAAAAAAATGTAAAAAAAATTACAATTCAAAAAATGATTTTTTTGCACGTTCTAATTCTATTGTCGATACATCATCTATTGCCATCTCAGCATCATCTAAATTATCCTCAACTATATTTTTAGTTTTCACCTCATTAAACTCCTTTTCACCTAGTTTTTTTACCAGACTTTCTCT